TGGTGAGTTAAATTTGGATAGAGCTTCACTTAGAAACTATTTCTATTACAAAAGTAATACTTGAGGCTGGCATTGTGGTGTAGCAGCTAAAGCTACCACTTATGATGCCAGTATGCTATATGGATGATGGTTTGAGTCCTGGCTGCTTCACTTCTAATCCAGCTCCCTGCTAATATGACTAGGAAAGTAGCAGAAGAAGAGGGCCCAAGTGCTTGGGCCCCTGCCACCTAATGGGAGACCTGGATGAAGCTCCTGGCTCCTTGCTTCCACTTGGCCCAGCCCTAGCCGTTGCAGCCATTTGGGGAGTGAACCGATGAATGGAAGATCTCTTTCACTCCCTCTCTTTCTGTAACTTTTTCAAATAAATAATCTTTTAAAGACATAAGAAAAGCAATACTTTTATGTATCACCCTCCAAAATACAACTGTTTCAATTCAGCCTTAATTCATCCAGTGTTGGATACTGTAAGGAGAGATGACAGTGCTGCAGATAGTTTCTTTTTTTATTTTTAAAAAAGATATTTTGTTGTTGATTTGAAAGGCAGAGTTACAGAAAGAGAGGCGCGAGGAGGGGAGAGAGAGATCAATCTCTCTGCTAGTTCACTCCCTAGATGGCTGTAACAGCAGGGGCTGGACCGGGCCAAAGCCAGGATCCAGGAGCTTCATGTGGGTCTCTCAAATGGGTGGCAGGACCCAAGTACTTAGGCCATTTTCTGCTGCTTTTCCCAAGCCATTAGCAGAGCTGGATTAGAAGCAGAGTAGCCGAGACAGGAACCTGTGCCCTTATGAGATGCTGGCATTGCAGGTAGCAGCTTTTACATTCTGTGCCACAAGGCTAGTCCCCTCCTCCTCCCCACATAGGTTTTCTTATAGACTATCTTGAATGAAATCTTCTGGAATTTCAAAAATAAAAGTCATTTATGGAGAATTGAGAAAGGTGATTTGTTCTTTTCTGAAATAATAATTATATAAATATATAGATGTGTGTGGTTCTCCTTATAGTCTTGAAATCTGTGGAAGCCACAACTCAAATTGACTCATCAAATGCCACTGAGACTGTGAGCAGAAATATTTTGAAAGATACTACCTTAGGGGTTTTGCTCTGAGCCCAATTATGAGTAGACAGGCTTTGTCTGTGCCTTCCCAATGTATTCTTAGAATTTATGGTAGCACAGGGACTTAAAATATCAGCAAATTTGGTAGTACAGATGTTCTATTAATTATAAAACAACACGGATTAGAGAAATGCTTCTACGAAAGCAGGGTTTTCTCAGTTATCTGCACATTTATATTTTAGTGCGAGGGCAATTTTAATGCCATGATTATATAGTTCCACTGAATACTGAAAATATTTCAGAAGTACTTCATCAGTTCACTGGAATATATTTAAGGAATATAAACACATTCATCTAAAACATTAATTGTTGAAACCTATTTAAAAATCAAACGTGGACAATTTTCTCATTACTTTTATTTAAATCTGCTGACTTTACATTCATTAGTGTGAATAACTGAGGATTAACTGTTCACGCAGATTATTTTACTTACTCTGACCTTCAGTATGTTCTCCATTAGGATTAATCCAAGAAATTTTCCATCTATGTGACCTCTATGTTTTCTTCAGATGTTTCAATCCAAGATCAGTGTAAACAACATGACTGATTTTATCTGGTTGGGAAAATGGTTGCTGGGTAGCTTATTTTTAAGTCCCCTGAGTAATTTCTCAGGCTTCAGCTAACTTCCCACATCCATTTTACCTTTCTTCTTTTACTAAATGGTGAGGCCTCTTTATTCTTCCTTTCCTCCCAACTCTGCTACCACTCAATCTACCTCAGTATTCCACTCAAAACTACTGGTGAAATGAAACAGGTTTTACTGTGTTCTCCTAAGTACCATGTTCCTGTCAACAATGAACCACATATGTGATGGTGGTCCTATGAAATTATGATGGAGCCAAAATATTTCTGTGGCCCACTGATGTCTTAGTTGTAATGTCACAGTGCTGGCATTACTCATGTGTTAGTAGTGATGCTGGTGTAAACAAATCTGCTCTGCCAGTCAGAAAAGTACAGCATATAGTCTTATGTACAGTACATAATACTTGATAGCAAATGGTCATGTTACTGGATTATGTGTTTACCATACTATTGTTTGGAGTATATTTCTACTTAAAAAAAAGTTTAAATAGTATGCCAGGTTGCATTTGGCAACAACCTCAGACATCTTGTGTTTACCCAGTCTTTTGATTACATCAAGAGGTCACATCCAATGATTGACCTATAACATCTAGGTTTGTGTAGGGGCACTCTTTGTTTGCACAGTGAGGAAATCGCCTAAGGATGCACTTCTCAGAATGTAGCCCCACCGCGCACATGCACGAATGAATGCCTTACTATATCTCCTAGCTCAGATCTCTTAAAAGTGACAGGATAAAGCACTGGCCTACAGCGCTGGCATCCCATATGGGCACTGGTTCATGTCCTGGCTATTCCACTTCTGATCCAGTTCTCTGCTATGGCCTGGAAAAGCAGCAGAATATGGCCCAAGTCCTTGGGCCCTGCACCCACATGGGAGACCCTGAGGAAACTCCTAACTCCTGGCTTCAGATGGACCCAGGTCTGGCTGTTGTGGTCATTTGGGGAGTGAACCAGCAGATCAAAGACCTCTCTGCCTCTACTTCTCTCTGTTTTTTTTTTTTTTTTTTTTTTTTTATTTTATTATTATTTTTTTTTTTTGACAGGCAGAGTGGACAGTGAGAGAGAGAGACAGAGAGAAAGGTCTTCCTTTGCCGTTGGTTCACCCTCCAATGGCCGCCGCGGCAGGCGCGCTGCGGCCGGCGCACCGCGCCGATCCGGTGGCAGGAGCCAGGAGCCAGGTGCTTTTCCTGGTCTCCCATGTGGGTGCAGGGCCCAAGCACCTGGGCCATCCTCCACTGCACTCCCTGGCCACAGCAGAGGGCTGGCCTGGAAGAGGGGCAACCAGGACAGAATCCGGCGCCCCGACCGGGACTAGAACCCGGTGTGCCGGCGCCGCTAGGCGGAGGATTAGCCTAGTGAGCCGCGGCGCCGGCTTGCCTCTACTTCTCTCTGTAACATTTTCTTTCAAATAAATAAAATAAAGGAAGTTCAGGCCAATTGATTGGGTTGTATCACAGCAGTTTGGGAGTGAGGTAGGGTCCTTTAAAAGTGTTTTCTCTCAAGTAAATAATTTCTGACTAGACCCAATGCTTCCCAACCCATCTTATATCATGGTCACATATACACACATTTTTATGGCAAACATACAATCATAGAAAAGGGTGTAGTTTTTATGCATGGGGGATTTGGGCGCCTTTGCCCCTACCCTTCTACCTACCTCAGACACTCATAACTGATTCTCAGTACCCATTTACTATACTACCCTTTAAATTATTATAGTGTACTACTTTTGAGTTTTACTGTAAAAGAGTATGCTGGCATTGCCTTGTCTATAGCATCATTCAATCGTGTTTATCCAGTCTCTTGATTGCTTCAAAAGGCAAATGATTGATCTACACTGACCACTGTTAGAAATGTAATTTAAAAAAAGAAGATAACTATCTCTGGGTGCCTCCCTGGAACAGGAGTCTTTTTAAACTGAGATACAGAAATTCAGTTGTTCCTACTGGATGCTGTTTTATGAGATTTCAGTGCTATCTGTCAAGTGGACAGAACTGGAGCAGTAGGGCTATTTAAGAACTATTCATTTTTCCTACTGAATAGTTAACTACCAAGGTACTTTTATGTAAACATCAAGACATGACAATGCAATGCCAGGCGTTGTACAACCACTGTGGTAGAAAGATTTGAATTCTGCTCTGAATTCAAAACAAATTTCCCCAATTTGGTGTGATTACAGTTAAGTCCAAATAAAGCAGAGAGTTTTCTTCAAGGATTCGGACAGTGAAAGACAACGGTTAAATTCCTCCGAATAATTGCTATTAGTAAGGGTATGAACTTTCTTCCCTTCATTCTTAAGTTAGCTTGAGTTTTCATGTTTTAGGTCTTTTTAAAGCACAATCCAGACTTCCCGTTCTACCTTGAGTGCACTGTCATTCTCAGTCTCTTGTTTGCTAGTTTTTCTTAGGGCAAATATTGCTTTTTGAGCTTTATTCATGTTGGGTAACATTTTATATAAACTTTCCCTGTGTGTTAATGTAGGAGTATATATTCCCAGGTTAAGTATTCACAGCAATACATTATGCACATTTGCCCTTGTTCTTTACGTAATTTGAAAACTTTTTTCCCCCCTCACGCTGACCTGAAGCCTGACAGCCTGGTCTTTATTTACTAGTCACTAAGTGTGTAACTAGAAACATGAGGAGGGACCTATTTCAAAGATTAATTCTGAAGACCCAAGTCGAACGAAATCGACCCACATTTCTACCAAAGGGTTGGCCCCGAGAAGCGAGTTCTTCTGCGGTCGTCCAGTCTCGTTGGCCGACTGTCCCTGAGTGCTGAACACCGCCCTGGTGTCCCGATTTGGGGTCAGGGTGACTTTCCAATTGTTAGGCACGACTGGGAGTACGAAGCGAGACCGTGGACGGTGAGGTGCGCGTTGGGGCGTAGCCGGGCCGTTTAAACCAGCGAATCCGCGTTCACCTCGCCTTCCACCTCTGCCTTATCTCCGCAGATGCTCCACGGGTTTGCACGGACTCCCGAGTCCGCTGACCGTCCTCCTCCTGTCTCCGGGCTCTGCGGACAACTTGCGGCGGCCGCTTGCTCCCAGGAGGGGGTAAGGATGAAGTTGGAAAAACTAAACTTGTTCTAAAGCTCAGCGCCGAAACGCAGCTCGCGGGAGGCTTCCGAGTGTCGGAGAGGGAGGCAAGTTGCACCCGCGCGAAAGGGGCGGGCCGGCTCGGGCCGCTCGCATTTCCTGTGACAGGGGTGGCCCCAGCCTCTCCCTCTCCCGCGGCGGCGGGACCATTTCCTGAATCGCTGAAGCGGAGGGAGGACTGGGGCGCGGCCCTACCATTAGCGCAGAGGAACGGGGGTGTGCGGAGAGGGAAAGGTTAATGGACTGCGGATGGTTAGGGACGGAGAAGTTCTGTTGGTCTCCATTTCTTCAGACACACGCAGACACACGACGTGCATGAAGCGGGAGTCGCCCTTGTCTGCCGGGACGGCCGGCTGTTTGCCTGGCACCGGAGCATCCCCCCTCTCCGCATTCCCGAGGTGGTTCAGCCCGAGAGGCCGGCGTCTTTCCCCCAGTTTGCCGTTCACCCTGAGCGCTCGGGACTTGCCGATAGTGGTGACGGCGGCAACATGTCTGTGGCGTTCGCAGCCCCGAGGCAGCGAGGCAAGGGGGAGATCACTCCCGCTGCAATCCAGAAGGTGAAACCTCGCGGGTCGGGGATGCCAGGCCCACCCCGCCTCTGGGAGAGACACCGGGGGCAGGGCCGGGCCGGGAGTCGGCCGGGCCGGGGGCGGAGGCGGAGGCGGGCCTGCTGGGAAGCAGCCGTGTGTGGGAACCCGAGCCGCGGGCTCTGCCTGAGTGGGTGGCGGAAGAGGGCGAACCGGTTTTTTCACCGAGTTCTTCGCGCTTTTAAGCTAGCTCTTGCAGGCACAAAAGCCCGAGCAACCGTCGCCCGATTTCTCTGGGGATGGGGCGGGCGGCGTTTGGGCGGCGGGGCCCGTGCGCCCGGTGGCGGCGGCTGCGGCCGCGCGGGGAAGGGCGGCCGCGGAGCCTCCCGCGGCCCCGCGCGGCTCCGGAGTTACTTTGGCGTCGCCCCGCCCCGCGCGCCGCGGCGGCTCGGTGCAGACCCGACCTCGGGTCCCGCGGCAGGCCAGGGGAAGTCTGAGTGCGGGTCGCCGCCCTGTGAACTCCGGCCGAGTTGCGGAGCTCTCTGGAGAACTTGGCGGACCCTGCAGGGAACCCTAGTAGAGCCTGACGGGGCGGCCGAGGAAGGACCTCATGGACTTTGGGGCTACACCCGGAACCCCGTTTTCCCTTCGGGATCACCCCTGGTTCTTTACGTGTCCTGCAAATATCTGTTAAGCGCTGTTGTAGGCGCTGAGGCTGTGTGTTGAGCCATGGTCCCTTGCCTTGCTGGGGCGTACAGTGGCGGAGACAGTTGCGACCAATTATTGAAGTCGTGGTAAATGCACAGGAGCCGCGTCCTTTTTAGAGGATAAGTGCTACCGCCGCCGCTGCCGTGCTGCTCCAATTGGGGACACAAAGGTTCTTTATGGTCCTCTACCTTGGTTGCCTAGGAGCGAGGCTGCATTCTGAATTTTCGGGAGCTAGACTTTCAGAAGTTAACTCGCTGAATTTAGCAGTTTAAATCTGTTTGTTTAATGCACTAGAACAACGATGAAAACAGAGGAAACGTCAGCTTTTAGTATTGTGCTCCTATAGATTATGTTAATCGGTTTCTGTTTACTGTCAGCTTCTTTGTAGTGTGGCATTTGACATTTGCCCAACTGTTGCTTTATTTTTTGAACCAACCGGCTTGGCAGTAACTGGAAATGCATTGCTTTCCTATAGTGCACTGGGCTGAGCCTGCAGCCTGGGGAACAGCTCCATGTACACATTTGTAAAGCATGTTCTGGAGGGGTTCACGCTTTTTATGTTTGCCTTAGGAAGGTCCTTAGCTTTTATTTTTATTAAAAATTTTTTGTAAATCTTAACGATACTCATCAGGAGTGATTAATTCCGGTGTGATGCTGATCAGTTATTTTTCATCATCAGATAAGAGAAAAATGAATTCCAAACTAACTGCCTTATTCTATAGTGTGAGAGAGTGTGGAGAAATGAGAGATCCTCTAATGTTGATGTTTGTTAGGTTTAGGAATGGTTCGAGATTGAATTACTGCATTTTTAAGGATTTTTTTTTTTTTTTTGCACATCCAGTGATTCTGTTAAAGGCAGAGTTGGATTTATCAGAAGGGCATGTTGGTATTTTTTCCCTTGCAGTTGAAGATTATGATTCATGCTCAGAAAAATCAAAGTGTTAAATAGATCTTTGCTTTTAATTTAAGAAGTTACATTAACTAAATTGAGAGTGATTTATGGTATTGTGCCTCATTTCTTTCATTGAATCCTAGAAGGGTTGATTGTGTTCCAAAGGAACATGTCCTGTTCCTTGATATTCAGGGCCCCTGAAAATTTAGGAGTTTTCGTTGAATATTTTTGGAATAACAAAGTTGGCACTAAAACTAACGGGGCTTTTAATTGCTCTGTTTCCTCAGTGCCACTTTGCTTAGATAAATTATTTACCTCTTGAAGGCAAGATTGATTTAGATTGTTAGGATAGATTTATAAACCAATTTTTTGTTTATAAACGTTTAAGAAAATTGAAGTATAAGGCAAATTCAGTCTAATAATAAGTATTTTATACATGCATTGATTTTATTGTATTTGATTATTCTGATTTGGAGAATCACAAAACTATACTTTTACAAAACTTGAACACTAGCTAGCTGTCTCCTAGGCTGCAGTTTCATATATTTACTTCATTCTGGATAAGGATAGGCTTTTTCTTTACTGTTACAAAGAATTAGAATGATAGGAAGACAACTTGAACTCATAATTTTTAGTCCTAACTGCTAAAGTTATTACAGGTAACAGGTAATTAAATGTTCAAATATAAAACAAATTCACATTCTTCTTCTAGCCTTCAGTTAATTCAGAAGGAGAAAAATTGGAACAGAAATATTAAAACATTGTTGATTAAACATAATACCACTCCAAAGATGTGAAGTAAGATTTTCCTTTTTTTTTTTTGAGATTTTATTTATTTCTACTTATTTGAGAGGTAGAATTACAGACAAACAGAGACAAAGAGAAAGATCTTCATCTGGTGGTTCACTCCCCAAGTGGCTGCGATAGCTGGAGCTGGGCCAATCTGAAACCAGGAGCCAGGAACTTCTTCCAGGTCTCCCGTGCAGGGGCAGGGGCCCAAGCACTTGAGCCATCCTTTACTGCTTCCCCAGGCCGTAAGCAGAGATGCTGGACCGGAAGAGTAGCAGCCAGGACTTGAGCCAGTGCTCTCATGGGATGCGGACACCACAGGCTAAGGCTCAGCCAATTATGCCTCAGTGCCGGCCCCAAAATAAGATTTTCTGTGGTGAGCTATAGTTGTATAAAAACATCCTGTATGTTTTCTGATAAAACATTTTTTACAAATCTGAAGAAAAAATCAGTAGTTAAAGGACTTACCCATATGAACTGCATGTTGTAAATTTTTACAAAATTACGATGAAATTTTAAGTGAGAAAGACCTGTAGAATTCTATTTGTTATTAAAATTAATTGGAATTTTTTTTTATAGTAGCATGTAGCAGCATTAACAAAAAATAGTTTTAAGGGATTTTTCTTTAAAATTTCCGTTTCCTTAAGTGTTTTTATATAACACATGGCAAATGTTTTTGGGATAAAAGTATTTTGGTAGGAGATCTACTTTAGAGTTCTTCAAGCAGTATGTATTGATGCCTTTTCTGAATTTTATGGCTTGTTTTTGTCTGATGCACTAGATTTATGATAAACTCTCTAATTTTGTTTCAGATGTTGGACGAAAATAACCATCTTATTCAGTGTATAATGGACTATCAGAATAAAGGAAAGACCTCAGAGTGCTCTCAGTAAGATTGAAATGAAACTTTTGTGATACGTTTTTGTTAATTTTTTACTTTTCTTTTTAATTACAACTTTGAGACATAATTCACATACATTTAACCTCTTGTAAAATGTACAATTCAGTGTTTTTAGGTTCATTGATAAAGTTGTGCTGCTATCACCTCAGTCAATTTGAGAACATTTTCTTCATCCCCAGAAGAATCTCATGCCCATTAGTGGCCATTTCCCATTCCACCTAATCTTTCACTCCCTGACAATCACTAATCTACTTTTTGTATAGATTTGTCAACTGTGACATTGCATATAAATGGATTCATACAGTATGAGGGGACTTCAAGAAGTTTGTGGTGGGGACAGTGTTGTGGCTTAGCAGGTTAAGCTGCCGCCTATGGTGAATCTAACATGAGCTCCCCACTGGTCTGCTTTCCATCAAGCTCTCTGCTAATGCACCTGGGAAAGCAACAGCAGATTACTCACGTGCTTGGGCCCTCACACCCATGTGGGAGACCCAGATGGAGTTCCTGGCTCTTGGCTTTAACCTGGCTCAGTCTTGGCTGTTGTAGCCGTTTGGGGAGTGAACTAGCAGATGAAGGATCTCTCTTACTTTGTCTCTCTCTCTTTCTGTTGCTGTCAAATAAAAAAAGTTTATGGGAAATGGAATTTAAAAATAAGTTCATTTAGGTGCAAAAACATTTTGAAATCCATGCAATTTTTCTTTTTCTTTCTTTCTTTCTTTTTTTTTTTTTTTTTTTTTTTGACAGGCAGAGTTAGACAGTGAGAGAGACAGAGAGAAAGGTCTTCCTTTGCCGTTGGTTCACCCTCCAATGGCCACCACAGCTGGCGCGCTGCGGCTGGCGCATGCGCTGATCCGAAGGCAGGAGCCAGGTACTTATCCTGGTCTCCCATCGGGTGCAGGGCCCAAGTACTCGGGCCATCCTCCACTGCACTCCCTGGCCACAGCAGAGAGCTGGCCTGGAAGAGGGGCAACCAGGACAGAATCCGGCGCCCTGACTGGGACTAGAACCCGGTGTGCTGGTGCCGCTAGGTGGAGGATTAGCCTAGTGAGCCGCGGCACCGGCCTGCAATTTTTCTTAATAGGCATTTTTCTTGAACCTTTTGAATGCCCCTTGTAGATTATCTTTTTTTTTTTTTTTTTTTTTTTTTAATTTGAAAGACACAGAAAGAAGAAGAGTGTGTGCTAGAGCAAGCTCCTATGGACTGGTTCACTCCCCAGATGCCTGCAGCCATCAGTAGCCAGAAACTGAATCCAGGTCTCCCATGTGGGTGGCAGGAACCTAACTACTGGAGCCATCATTGCTGCCTTATGTGGTCCACGTTAGTGAACTGGAATCTGGAGCTGGAGGCAGTAATCAAACCCAGGCACTTACATGTAGGGTGTGAGTGGCTTATTAGGCCACATGTGTACCCTGTATGTGTTGTGTTTTGATTGACATTTGTCACTTACTTTTTGAAGTAGTTTATTTCTTTTTTTATTGCCAGGTTATCTTCCAATGTGCAGGTTTCTCAACATTTTATTTATTTGTTAATGGTGACATTTGTTTTTTTTTCCCTTCTTGGTTCAAAATACTATGGTGAACATTTGTGTATAAGTTTTTGTGAACATTTGTGAATGAGTTTTTGTGTGGCTTTTCTTGAGTTTTTGCAAAAGAAAAATTTCTTTGTCAGGGGAGTGGGTATCAGTTTTTTCTTAGATTCCTTACTCTACATCATAAAAACGTGATTTCAGTTTTGTCTATAATTTGGTTTGTAGAAGAGTTTGATATTCAGATTTGTAAGATGTATGTTTGTATCTGTATATACTGATGAGAGAGCTTTTATTTAATAAAAGAACTGTTTATCATTCCTAAGAACCATACTTTCTTATTTTGAAGTGGTAATGTCTGGAGAAAATGGCATACTTTAGTAGACTCTGGCGTGGTAGAATAAATTGAATATTTTATCAGACATCTCTAGAACTACAATGTCCAGTAGAAAATAAATGTGAGCAATAGATGCCATTTAAAGTTTCTGTACAATTAGAAAGAAATAAGTGCATTTAATATTAATAACATTTTGTTTAACACATAATTTTCAAGACACTATCATTTCAGTGTATAGCCAGTATAAAAATTAATAAGATTTTATATTCCTTTTCTCCTAAGCCATTGTGTATGTTACTCTAAATGCATCTCATTTTGAATTAGCCACATTTCATTGTACCCTCTGGCTGTTGTATTAGACAATGCAGCTTTAGAGTATTTTATTCTCGCCATTGTTTTGGGACACATCTCTCTTTCTCAGAGATCTCATTGTTCTATTCTAAAGCAGATAATCCCAGCAACCCTGGTTTTTGTGCTATACTCCTTTCTTATAATTTGTTTCACTTTTTATCTAATTCCCAGAGTCCATTCCTTTTTATTGTTTCCTTTTGTTTTAAAGTTATTTGTAAGTTTAAAAAGTCATGTGTGTATGTATAAAAGTTGGTGGAGGGCCGGTGCCGCGGCTCAATAGGCTAATCCTCCACCTGCGGCGCCGGTACACCGGGTTCTAGTCCCAGTTGGGTTGCTGGATTCTGTCCCGGTCGCTCCTCTTCCTGTTCAGCTCTCTGCTGTGGCCCAGAAGGCAGTGGAGGATGGCCCAAGTGCTTGGGCCCTGCGCCCGGATGGGAGACCAGGAGAAGCACCTGGCTCCTGGTTTCGGATCAGTGCGATGCCGGGGCAGCAGCGCGCCTGCCGCGACGGCCATTGCAGGGTGAACCAACGGCAAAGGAAGACCTTTCTCTCTGTCTCTCACTCTCTCACTGTCCACTCTGCCTGTCCAAAAATAAAAAAATAAAAAATAAAAAATAAAGAAAAAAATAGTTTACGAGAGCAATATATATGTTGTAGAAACTTAGAAAATATGAATATGTAGTAATAAGATAATGAGCACAATATTCCTACCAACCACTGATTTTTCTTGGTAATATCTTTGAATGTATGGCTTTATCTAATAATATCAGTGAACACAAGAACACAACTCAGTCAATTGCACTCTTGTAAGTGAGGTCTGAATCACTTGTGGAGATGATATGTCCACATTCTTTCTGTTTAAATTCTGGTATGTACATTAACGTATAGTGTTTTAAAAATATGTTAAGAAAGTAAGTTGTTTCAGTGACATGTAACAGTATAGAATAAAAAGTTTATGAGACAATATATAATATAATTTTTAGTGTTTTAGTTGTCACAGCTGAATCCAGATTCTTCTAGAAGATTTGCTGATTGCTTTTTAGGTGACCTATACACAAACCCTTTAAAGTATATTAATATTTATTACTTTTTCATTCATGTAAAATTTTGAGCCTTGAGTTCACTGAATAAGCTTGTTTGTTGAATGCTGTAAGGTGTAATACCTATTGAAGTTAGAAATATCAAACTAAAAATTTTTTTTAACCTTATATCTCTATATTAGAGAAAATCATTTATGGGTATTACTACAATTGGAGAAATTCGAATGGGTTTTATGGATTAGGTGATAATATTGTGTCTCAAGAATAATTTTCTTATGATGATTACACTGTTACTGTAGTAGGGGTGGGGAAAGCTGGGCATACTGGCCTTATTAGGGCCTGTGAAATCATTTGGTCTGGCCTTGCCAAAACAACCACAGGTAGAACTTGAAATTCAGTAAAATGTGGCCAGTGCTGTGGCATAGTGGATAAAGCAGCTGCCTGCCTTGCCAGCATCCCATGTGGACACCAGTTAATGTCCCAGCTGCTGTGCTTCCGATCCAGCCCCCTGTAATGGCCTGAGGAAGACAGTAGAGGATGGCCCAAGTGCTTGGGCTCCTGTTCTTACATGGGAGACCCAGATGAATTTCCTGGTCCTGGCCTATCTCTGGCCGTTGCAGCCATCTGGGGAGTGAATCAGTGGATGGAAGACCTCTCTCCCTCTCTTTCTAACTCTTTGAAAATAAATAAATCTTTAAAAAAATTTCAGAAAATCTATAGTAGGCTAACTTAAAAAATAAGATTTTTTTACTTTTTTGACTTACATGGTGGAATGGAGAAAGAGAGAGAGGAAAAGAGGTCTCTGCTGGTTCACTCCCCAAAAGGCTGCAGTGGCCAGGACTGAGCCAGGCCAAAGCCATGAGTTCCATCCAGGTCTCTCATGTAGCTACTAGGGTCCAGGTACTTGAGCAGTCTTTCACTGCTTTCCCAGGTGATATTAACAGGGAGGTGGATCTGAAGCAGAGCATCCTGGACTCAAACCGGTATCCATAAGGGATTACAGTATTGCAGGTGGAGGCTTAATCTGCTGTGTCACAACACTGGCTCCTGCCAGGGTTTTAGAGATCTACTTTAACTCTGCTTCTAGACAAATGAGATGTTGAGTATGGTCGAAAAGATTTAATAATATTTTATCATTAACTTAATAAGTACTAATCAGTATAATACTAAATCTTTTTTTTTTTTTTTTAAGATTTATTTATTTATTTGAAAGGCAGAGTTAGAGAGGCAGAGGCAGAGGGAAAGAGGTCTTCCATCTATTGGTTCATTCTCCAGGTAGCCACAGTGGCCAGAGCTGTGCTGATCAGAAGCCAGGAGCCAGGAGTTTCTTCCAGGTCTCCCACAAGTGTGCAGGGACTCAAGAACTTGGGCCATCTTCCACTGCTTTCCTAGGCCATGGCAGAGAGCTGGAATGGAAGTGGAGCAGCTGGGATTTGAACTGGGGCCCATATGGGATGCTGGCACTGCAGGTGCTGTGTTTACCTGCTACGCCACAGCACTGGACCTATCTTTTTTTCTTAGAGTCATGAGTAAACCATGTCTCTTCTTAAGGTTTGGTAGTTTTGCTTTTGATGGGGTTATCAGTGGGCTTCAGTAGATCTGATATCTGCAAATAATGCAGTCATTCTAATACTCAGAGAAGCAAAAGATAGCCCCAAGGATCTTGAAATGAGTAATGTGTTCTCATTAAAATAGGCTAATTGATATTTTAGAAATGGTAAGAGATGGAACCCCATATATCAGTTTCCACTCAGCCTTTTTTTTTCTTTTTTTAATTTTTATTTAATAAATTTCCTAAGTACAGCTTTTGGATTACCATGCCCCCCCCCCCCCCATAACCTCCCTCCCACCCACAACCATCCCATCTCCCACTCCCATTCCATTCACATCAAGATTCATTTTCAATTATCTTTATATACAGAAGATCAATTTAATATATACTAAGTAAAGATTTCAACAGTTTGCACCCACACAGAAACACAAAGTGTAAAGTACTGTTTGAGTACTAGTTATGTCGTTAATTCACATAGTACAACACATTATGGACAGAGATCCTACATGGGGAGTAAGTGCACAATGACTCCTGTTGTTGATTTAACGATTGACACTCATTTATGGCGTCAGTAATCACCCGAGGCTCTTGTCATGAGTTGCCAAGGCTATGGAGGCCTTTTGTCCACTCAATATTTCTACAAAATAGTGAAATAATTCTAGCTAGTGGTTGCTGTTAGTACCGTTTGAAGACTTTCTATAACATAATTAACCCTTATAAATAGTCCAATATACATATAATAGTTATTTCTTGGTCCTGGTTTATATAAGAATCATTGTCAAAAAATGTGTCTAGGGGGCCGGTGCCATGGTGTAGTAGGTTAATACTCTGCCTGCAGCACTGACATCCCATATGGGCACCAGTTCTAGTTCTGGCTGCTCCACTTCTGATCCAGCTCTCTGCTATGGCCTGGGAAAGCAGGAGAAAATGGCCCAAGTCCTTGGGCCCCTGCACCCGCATGGGAGACCCGGAAGAAGCACCTGGCTTCTGCCTTCGGATTGGCACAGCTCTGGCCATTTCGGTCATCTGGGGAGTGAGCCAGCAGATGGAAGCCTTTTCTGTCTCTCCCTCTGTCTGTGACTCTACCTCTCAAATAAATAAATAAAATCTTTAAAAAAATGTGTCTGATTGAATTCATGTGAGCATTAGAAACATGTTTATTAGTGTTAAGTTTATTTGAAGGTCAGGGAGACATAATTTTTTATTTCTTACTAAAGAAAAAATTATAAAACTTAAAGTAGATAATACAGCAAAGATTCTATTGTGATTCCTTTTTTTTTTTTCTAAAGATTTATTTATTTGAAAGAGTTACACAGAGAGAGGAGAGGCAGAAAGACAGAGAGGTCTTCCGTCCGGTGGTTCACTCCCTAGATGGCCGCAGTGGCCGGAGCTGCACTGATCCAAAACCAGGAGCCAGGAGCTTCTTCCCCGTCTCCCACGCGGGTACAGGGTCCCAAGGACCTGGGCCATTTTCCACTGCTTTCCCAGCCCGTAGCAGAGAGCTGGATTGGAAGAGGAGCAGCTGGGCCTAGAACCGGTGCCCATGTGGGATGCCGGCGCTTCAGGCCAGGCCGGTCCCATCCTCTTTATTTTTTTATTTATGTATTTGAGAGGTGGAGTTACAGAAAGTGAGAGGGAGAGACAGTGAGAAAGGTCTTCCATCTGCTGGTTTATTCCCCAAATGGCCCCAGTGGCCAGAGCTGGGCCAGTCCGAAGCCAGCAGCCAGGAGCTTCTTCCGGGTCTTCCATACGGGTGCAGGGGCCCGAGCTCCTTGTACTGCTTTCCCAGGCCATAGCAGAGAGTTGGATTGGAACAGGAACAGCCGGGACTAGAACCCGTGCCCATATGGGATGCTGGTGCTGCAGACAAAGGATTAACCCACTGCACCACAGCGCCGGCCCCCTGCCGTCCTCCTTAAACTGTAGTTTTTTCATCTGTAAAATGGAGAAATTAGAGCTTCCACCTTGTGTTGATTTGGGGACTGGTTGAAATATATGTGCGTGTAAAACAATGTCTATCACATGGTAAGATTTCTATGTTCATTATTAATTTCAATGTGTTATTTATTTGGTATTGTTTTACAGAAGAAATAGCAAAGGTTAAAGTCTTATTGATGTCCATATAGCAAATCTTTTATTAAACTCTAAAAATTGTTGGCATGCTATTTGTATTAAACAGATAAGAAAATTATTTTTTAATATTGATATCTGCTTTGTTTCACCAGGTATCAGCAGATGTTGCACACAAACTTGGTATACCTTGCTACAATAGCAGATTCTAATCAAAATATGCAGTCACTTTTACCAGCAGTAAGTACCTTTAAATAATGTGAAGTAAGCAATTTTTTAAATTATATATGGTATAAAACATTTTTACTTAATGAGTTTTCAGTTTTGTTTAGTAACTCCTGCCCTACTCTTAGACTGTGAAAGTATTGTATGTAACCTCAGAGTTTTTACTTTCATCATTAATTTGAATTAATTTCACCAATATTGATTCCCTCCCTGCATAAGTAATTTATTAATAATTTTGGAGTATTTCATGGCAAATACTGGGTATTATATAACTTTACCAGTAAATATTTCTAATATGCATCTCTTACAGATAGGAGTATTGCTTTACTGATATAATTTACTGTGATTTCTTAATATGTATGTCTTAAAATACTCAATCTGTTTTCAGTTTTCAACTATTATTTTAAGAAACCTAAGTCTTTTAATGGTTGATAGCCTCAGAATCAAAAAAAGGTCCACATACTGCACTGGTTGATGTGTGTTGTGTGTGTGTTCAGTCTGATTAATATATGTCAGTTTATCTTTAAATTTCTGTTTATTTGTTGAAGAAATTGTGTTATATGTTGTAGAATTTCTCACTTCTGAATTTGACTGATTGTATTCTTCTGGGTCATTAACATGTTCCTCCGTCTTATTTCATGTAAACTGATAATTAGGTTGAGAGGCTTATTTAGAGTTAGGTTTAGTTTTCTTGTTTAGAGTATTTTTATTGGTTATGCTATGTATTTCTTGATGTATCACATCAGGAAGAACATGTTGGGTGGTTATTTCACTTTTAGTAATGTTGAGATTAATCAGTGGATACAGTTGATTACAACCAGATCAACTTTCCCATCCACCTTTATCTTCCTCTAGTAGTCATTTATACTTGACTAGATCCTTTATTCTGTTTTGGGATCATAGAATAGTATATTTATGGCTTTATAATTCCTACTGCATTTATTAACTATAACTGTTTTCTAAAAAGTTAGATTTACTTCCAAAAAGCATTTGGTTATCCTTAAAGAATCCCTGTAGGAAAGTTATAAAGGATTGATTTGATCCTGTTACATTCCAGCAACTTGTGAAGGTGACCAGTGTTTATGTTTGTTGTTTTTGTTTAAAATTACAGATTTTTATATTTTTAATGTTTAAATCTATTATAGTTGTTCTTTATGATGCTCAAATTATTTTTCTTTAATCATTGGGAAACTTCTTCATTTATCACTTGTGTCCTTCTGACATGACTCTAATATTCCTTTATTGGTTCTTTGCTTTCAGGATTTGAGAGAGATACCATCAGGCTGCTTATATTTTCTTCCATAGAACTAGAGTCAGCCATTTTTTTCAGAGTTTTTTCTCCCCCTTAAATGGAATTGGTTTTCAGAAAGCACAATTTGGGTGATTGGGCATTTATTACTATTGAGTTTTCATTATTTCTAGTCATAAAGTGAACAGAATTAATAAATATATTGTTTACAAAGAGAAAATACTGAATTTGTAAGAAGATTTCTACTTCAGAAAAGGATTTTTACTTAGTTTTGATTTTATATATTAATATCTCCTCTCGTACTCTAAAAATCTTGGTTCCTTAATGACATTACTCTAGTTACTTATTTGCTTTACACTTCTATGTAAAAAAGTTCTTTCACTGTAACACTACCAAGATTACCACAAAGAGGAAGATACTTATCGTTAAGATATATCCTGGGGGGGTGTGTGTGTGGATATTTAATCAATAAATTTTGTTTTTAACTTGAAGTAGTTCTTTATGTAGCTATTGCTGTGAGCCTTATTACCAGTCAGATAGAATGTATTGTTATGAATAATGTGAAGGAGTAGGTTCAATTTAATTTGTTTCCATGTGGATAGGTTCTTTCCTAACTGTATTTGAAAAATGAAAGATCTTTTCTCCATGTTATGCTACCCATAGTGCCCATTTATGAGGGGGTCTGTGTCTCATGGCTCTCTATTCTGTTCTGTTGGTCTATTTTCATAAATTCCAGAATCTTTTACACAATGTGTATTTGAAAAGTTCATATGTCTTGATTTTTTCCAACATCTTGGCTCTTGGTCCTTTGCATTTTCATATATGCTTAAACATCAGCATATTGAGTTTTATCACATGTACATAATCCTGTTCGGATTTTCACTGAGATTACCACAACTAATTTAGGGAGAATATATTTCTTTAAAAATGTGCCGTTTCTGGGGTGAATGTTGTGGCGTAGCAGGTTAAACCAACAGTTGGAACACCTGCATTCCATATAGGATTGGCTGGTTCTAGTCTTGGCTATTCTGTGCTTTTCATCTAGCTTCCTGCTAATGTACATGGGAGGCAGCATATGCTGGCCCAGGTACTTGGATTCCTACTTCCCATATGAGAGACTTGGATTGAATTCCTGGCTCCTGGCTTCAGCATGGACTAGTCCTGGCTGTTGAGGGCATTTGGGGAGTGAACCAGCAGATTGGAAGATCTGTCTTTGTCTCTCCCTCTCTTCTCTATCACTCTGCCTTTCAAATAAATAAAATCTTTAAAAGAAGTTTGTCTTCCAAGTCATGAGCATTGCATATATTTTCATTTATTTAGTTCTTTAATGTTTATTGATGAAGTTTATGATTTCCCCATAGAGGATTTCTCATCTCTCATTGGACTTACTGCTAGATACATATTTTTGGAGACCATTTTAAATACTGTCTTTGTTTTTTTAAGTTTTCTAACTGCAGTTGCTGTTCACATAGAAATGATATTGATTTTGAGTATTACAATCTTATTCAACTCTTTATTTGTAAATTTTTAAATAGGTGCTTTCAATTTTCCATATTTATGATCATATTGTTTGTGAATAATGAATTTTGTTTTTCTTTCTTTGCTTTTTTCTTTTTTTTTGACAGGCAGAGTGGACAGTGAGAGAGAGAGAGAGAGAAAGGTCTTCCTTTGCCGTTGGTTCACCCTCCAATGGCTGCCGCGGCCAGCGCGCTGCGGCCGGTGCACCGCGCTGATCCGATGGCAGGAGCCAGGTACTTCTCCTGGTTTCCCAAGGGGTGCAGGGCCCAAGTTCTTGGGCCATCCTCCACTGCACTCCCAGGCCACAGCAGAGAGCTGGCCTGGAAGAGGGGCAACCGGGACAGAATCTGGCGCCCCGACTGGGTCTAGAACCCAGTGTGCCGGCGCCGCAAGGTGGAGGATTAGCCTAGTGAGCCGTGGCGCCGGCCTGTTTTTCTCTTGATAATCCTTACACCTTTTATTTCTTTCTCTTGCCTTACTTCTCTGGCTAGGACCTCCACTACATTTCCAAATAGAAGTGACCATAGAGGACACCCTTGACTTGTTCCTGATCTCAAAGGGAAAACTTTCACTGTTTGGCCATTAAGTATGATGTTTGCTGTAGTGTTCTGTGGATACCTTTTATCAGATTAAGGAAGTTCTCTTTGTTCCTGATGTGCTAAGTAATTTCTGTCTTGAATGCATATTAATTTTTACCAATACTTTTATTGCATATAATGAGAGAATCATAAGCCTTTTCTTCTTTAATCTGTTAATGTGATAAATTACATTGATATTCTTTTTAATGCTCAATCAGTCTTGCATTCTTGTAATTATTTGTTCATGACCCACTTGGTCATAGTCTTTTTAAAAAATTGTTATATTAGGTTTATAAAATTTTGATCAGGACTTTTGCATCTTTTAGTGTGTTTGACCTGTAATACTCCCTTCTTATGGTGTCTTTGGTTTTTGTATTGAGTTTATGCTGGCTTCATAAAATGAACTGGAGAATTCTCCCTGCTTTTTCTTACCTGGAAGAATTTGCTTAATATAGCTTTACTTACTTATTTATTTAATGGTATTAGGACAATGTATATATCCCTGTATTTTATATATCCTCCATTCCTATATTATATAAATTGTCTCTTTGGCTATGGTTGTTAGTATTTCAATAAACTTTAAAATATGTTGGCATAAAGTTTATGAAATCTTTCCAGTTTCACAATTTCATCAGGATCTGTGGTGATACTTTTAAATTTTTTAAAGATTTATTTATTTATTTTAAAGGCTGAGTTACAGAGAGAGGGGGAAAGAGAGAGAGAGGTCTTCTTTCTTCTGGTTCAGTCCCCAGAATGGCTGTGATGGCCGTGGGCTGGGTCAGGCCAAACAAAACCAAAAGCCTGACACTGTCTGGGTCTCTGATGTGGGTGGCAGGGGCCCAGGTACTTCCGCGATCTTCTGAAGCTGCTTTCCCGGTGCATTAGGAGGGAGCTGGATTGGAAGTGGAGCAGCCAGGACTTAACCGGCAGCCCTATGGATGCTGGCATTGTGGGTGGTGGCTTTACCTGCTCTGCCACAGTGCTGGCACCTTTTTTATTTCTACTTATTTTAAAGATTTATTTATTTGAAAGGCAGAGTGACAGAGATCTTACATCTACTGGAACGCGCTTCAGAGGGCCTAAATGGCTGGTACTGGGCCAGGCTAAAAACAGGAGCCAGGAAATCCATCCTGGTCTCCCACGTGGGTGCAGGGGCCCAAGCATTGGACCATTTTCCTCAGCCTTCCCAGGGATATTAGCACGGAATTGGATCAGAAGTGGAGCAGCTGGGATTCAAACTGGTACTTCACTGTGGGATGCTGATGTCAAAAGTGACTGCTTAACCTGCTGTGCCACAACAGCTCCAGCCCTTTTTCGGTTTTTAAATTAAAACTGAGAAAAATCTTAAAATACTTGTTAGCTTGTTTAAAAATACATTAAACCCATTCAATGTTAATATCAGTACATTCTTTAAAGGAAAAATAGCATCTTTGAGAACAAATTCAGTGAGGTGAATGGCATCATTATACCTTTTTGCAAATATCTGTGATTCTTTGTTTTGTGAAGATTTTATTTATTTATTTGAGAGGTAGAATTACAGAGAGAGAGAGACAGAGAAACAGGTCTTTCATCCACTGGTTCACTCCACAAATGGCCTCAATTGCTGGAGCTTGGCTGATCTGGAGCCAGGAGTTTCTTCCAGGTCTCCCACACAGGTGCAAGGGCCCAAG